GGTAGTGTCCAAACCGCTGCCCACACAGCTCCCTCCAGGGTAGTGTCCAAACCGCTGCCCACACAGCTCCCTCCAGCCCTCTCCTGGGGCACTAGACGTTAGAACAGCAGCTGTGGAGGTGTACAGAGGCCATGGCTCTTCGGTGGTGTCCGTCCCTTACTACCGCATGTCTGTGTGCGTGTTTCCTGGAGCAGAACTGCACATGGCCTATCTCTGTGCTGGAGACACGATGGGGAATGGGGTCTGTAGGCCACATGCTTCTGATGTGTGCAGGTGACAACAGCAGCCGCTCAGAAGGATGTTTGAAACGACCCCGGTGCATCTTGTTCTTGGCCATCCACTGCTTTGGAGGAATGCATGGTACCAGGCCTGTCAGAGGGGGCCATCCCTTCAGGTTCCCTTCAGGTTCATGAATAGTGAAATCCTCAAGGCAGCCCAGTGGCCCTTCTCTGCTCAGCCAGGGTGTCACACTGAGCAGTGGGCTCCAGGACCACCCTCCACCTCTGTATCGCTGACACTGTCCATTGTTAGAGTAGGAGACCAGCTGGGTGATCCACCAGTGAACAGACGGGCCGTTGGTGTCTCTCCACACAGCCTCCCCTAGGCCAAGGGCACCCCCTGGGGCAGGGCTTCCTCCTTAGGGGCTCCCCACTCAAGGGATCAGGGAGTCTCCACAGACCCAGGAGGACTGATGCACAGGGGGAGGATGGGCCTATCTTGGGTAGTTTGGGGTGCCCCAGGGGCATCTGTGGGTGCTCTGAAGATGCTGTTGGGAGGCAGGTGGTTCTCGGGGAGTGGGCCTGCACACTTCCCCTGGGTCTTCTGTAAGCTCTTGGCCCAGCCCCTGGGCCCTGGAGGTCTGAGGAGAAGGAGTCTTCCCATTATCTCCCTAACAAGCCTTTGCACTGGAAAAAAGGCACGCAGCCGTCACCTGGGCCCACTGGGGAGGCCCGGCTTTGTGCTGTGATCCATTGCTGAGAGAGCCCGTTGGCGTGTAAACCTGCGGAACGTGAACAGCCGTCTTTATTTTGTTCTTTCTTTTGCTGCTGTTGAGAGTAGACGGCAAAACACCGTCACCTGGGGTTTCTCAGTCTCGCAGCTGTGTACCCCCCTCTGCTGAGCTGCTCCTCCCCATGTCGGGGTCCCACTCGTCCCCCAGCGCTGTCCCCAGCCCTGACTGCTGTCATTGGCCTGGGGCCAGGTCCCCCCTTGCACCTCTGGCTGTGGGACATTGGTGCACTGAGAGCTAGGGAGACAAGCGAGTCCCTGGCGTGGCCCAGGCTGGGCCTTGTCAGCCTTATTTCCTGGTTGGCCCCCTTATTTCCACCCTGGTGAGGCTGCCTCCCTCTGAATCTGCAGTGGGTGGCGTTGGGCTGCATCTTTGTCTTGGGCATCACACTACCAGCTTTCTCCAGTGTAACCAGTTTACCTGCACTTCCTCAAAGTTAAAATAGAGATTTCCAGTTCTGGCTTTTCAGATGGAGAAGTGTTTGTTTACTGAGATTTTAAGGGCAGCTCTGAGGGTCTACCTTAAAGGGCCCGGCAGAGAACCTCCTGAGTTGCTCATAGCCCATAGGACGCACACTCCATCCTCAGCCCTGGTTGGGGGGCAGCAGAAGGTACAGCCAGAGCAGGTCCCAAGTGCCCACCTGCTGACGATGGGTCCTTCCCACCACACTGGACAGCGTGTCCCAGAGGTGGTGAGCGGGGCCGACCGGCACTCAGTCAGGGGCGTTTGCTCTTGATGGGGTTTTGGGGTGCTTGTGGTGGACACAGGTGTCTCACCCAGAGAGGTTCCAGGTCACTAGTGACCAAATCAGAGCTTGATTCTCTGGATATAATGGATGATCTTACTGAGGGACATTTGAGGAAGGCGGTCAGTGGGGGTTCTGTGCTAGGCCGAGACTAGAGGACTCGGGGGTGCCGTTACATAGCGTCTGCTGATGCCCCCACACTGCACACAGCACAGAACTCACTTCTCTGCCACCCCACCCCTGGTCCCAGCTTTCCCCAGGTGGGTGGCTCCGTCTGTGAATGGCCAGCATTGAACTGACCCCTGTAAGACCCTTGGAGCTGCAGCCTGGACCCCTCAGCACTGGGGTGGCTCCGGCTTTGGTTTCTTAACAGACACTGAGCCACAGCGTCGTGATCGGCAGCGGTTGGCTTTTGTGAGTTCCCTGGAAACAAAACACGGCTGAGCCCCCGGGAGCTGTTGGCCTGTGTATGATCCCTTCACTTGTGGGTGAAGGGCCCCCCCCCCCCCGTGAGCACCCCCAAACAATGTTTGTCCTTCTTTTCAGGACTGGAAAGATCACCAGCATGTGTGCGGCCAGTCAGCAGCGGTCACCGTCCAGGCAGATGAGGTCCATGTGGACGAGAACGTCATTGACAAAGTGTCCGTGTGAGGGGCTCCCGTCGAGGAGACTGCCAGGAGGATTAACAGACTCCAAGACCAGGCACCTGGACCTGGAGGACAGCTGACTGTCATTGTAGGGACAGGGTGGGGACTGAGGGACTGACACCTGGACCCGTGTCCTCCCTGGAGGACAGCTGACTGTCATGTGGACAGAGTGGGGACAGTGACATGGATGCTGAGGGACAGTGGTGGGGCCATACTGTGGAAGGGATGGTGGGGACCCGGAGGGGGCAGCAAGGCATGTCCCCCTCATGCTCCTCTCCCCGCAGTGTGCACACGAGTGCTGTAAATAAAGCTGAGGGCTGCCTGCCGGCCTAGTGGCCAGTACACTCATCCTCAGGACAGCCGGGGTGGGGGGGTACTGTCAGCCCACACGTGACACCAAGTGTCCCTGTGGGCAGAGAGTGGGGACGAGCCCAGGGACCAGCATCCCGGGACCCCACTCAAACAGCTGATTGGAAAACTGTCCAAGGCCACAGACAGACACACCGGACACACAGCTCTGTGCCATGGGCAGCCTGTACCTGGTGTCCACGTGACAGAATCCACATGTCGCTACTCTCACCTGGAGGTGGGTGCCCCGGTGCTGGTCTCAGGGTGCAGGACCTGTGTCCACTGTGGCGACATGGACAATGCCCTGCCTGCCACTGCGTCGCAGAGGGTGTCAGTTCTGAGCAAAGCCTGAGGGAGCTGCAGTCTGGTGCCACCACTGTGGTGTTGAGGGAGAGCCTGGGTTGACCAGAGACCCCCAGGGCTGGTGCCTGCGTCCTGACTGGAGGTGGACTCTCAGTGACCTACACTGACCCTACCAGCAGTGGACTTGGCCCAGGGGCTGCTCGTTCTCAGGAGGCTCAGACATGTTTTCTGGGCTCCTCTGTGAGGGGCCAGAGTCCATACCCAGTATCTGCTGCTGCCCCTGCCCCATGCGGGTGACCCTGTGCATCCGGAAGGCAGGCTGGACCCGTTCCAAGGGCAAGCTTCTCCCAAGGGGAGAACGGGGCGGGTTAGGGAGACTTCTCCGAGGAGGAAGCGGTGATGCCTGGTAGCAGGCTGAGTGTATTTTAATGCCACGCTTTACCAAAGCCCGTAATTTCACAACATTCAGGAGAAACCCTAACATAATAGGTGTCTACACAGCAAGAAAGCCCTGGGGTGGGGGGTGATGCCGAGACCCCACCTGCTAGCAGAAAGTAGAGGTGACATTGAGCCCTCCTCCCAGGGTCAGCCTCTGCACTGCCCACCAGTCTGCCCACCAGCCCAGTTCCAGGGCTAACCCTGCAGCCTCCTCCCTCCACTCCTGTGGGTCAGACGGGCAGGGACCATTGGCTGGACTCCAAGGTGGCTACTCTCTGGAAGGGGTCTCCTCAGGTGAGCTAGTCCCAGTCCTCATCTGCAGGAGGTGTAGGCAGAGGTGGCTGGAAGCTGGTCATTGGTCTGCAGGGTCGGGTCAGCTGGGTCCCCGGGTGCCAGGCATGAACTTGGAGCAGTGACTCTTCCCTTGTGAGAGTGGACAGTCTGCCAGGACAGTACCATTCGTTTGCTAGGGGATGCGTTCTCTCCTCTGCTGCCTTGCGCGGGGGAGACGATGACGACGACGTTATTGAGTCCATTGACAGAGTGCTGCCAGAGTCCGAGGTCGTAGACTGGCTGGCAAGGGCCAGAGAGTGAGCCCCCCCCCCCCCCAGCATGCATGGCCTCACACCCTCGGGGACATGGGCAGCTCTGGTCTTCTCCTTGGGCTTAGCTGGACCTCCTCATAGCCTCTCAGGCCGCCCACACACAACCGTGGGCCAAGCCCACATTCAGCCCTCACCCCAGCCAGGGCCCAGTGTAAGGAAGGAGTCGGGGAGGAACAAGTTCAACCCTCCTCCCTGACCCCCAGCCCTGGAACCTTCACAGGTGGGTTAGGGAAAACTTGGATTGTGTACAGAACCGCCCCCTCCACATGCAGTGGGTCTGCCGCTCCTGGGGGCAGGACGACCCCAGGCCAGGTCAGTGCAGAGACTGGACGCTCCGCTCAGCAGCCGAGACTCAAGGCTTTGCAGACTCTAGGTGACAGGGTTGAGGGCACTGTTGACGTAGCGCAGCCGGGCGGGTACGGCACAAGCGTGACGTGCACCCCACGGAAGGGGGTCCAGCACACCAGGAAGACCCCTGGTGGCACGTCAGCGTGAGTGGGTCCTACCGCAAGGCCCTCCACCCAGGGTCTACCCTCT